AACCAAAAACAAAAAAAAAAAAAAAAAAAAAAAAAAAAAAAAAAAAAAAAAAAGGGGGGGGGGGGGGGGCGGGGAAGAGGCAGTGCTGAAGATGATCCCCAATACGACGAGTGTCCCTGATTTCAACAGCCTTCAGCACAGGCCAAGGAAGTGCAAATTGCTGTGGTCAGAGCTGGTGGCAGAGCACTCACCAGAAGGAATTCAGTTCTCAGCTCTGGTTGAGAGCTTTAAATCACTTAAACCAGCTCCGAGGGTGTCAGCGCTTGAGGCTTTCATACGCTCACGGGAAGGAAAAGCAGGTTGTCTGTACAGGTGGTGCCCTGGTGCACTGACAAAAAGTAGTACTCCAAAACGTGCGTGTCCCTCAAAGCCTGAGAAAATCCGAAGGGCGTTTCCCAATAGAAGACATACACTGCAACAGGTGTTAAGCAAAGAAAAATTGATTGGATGTCAGCCCTGCTGCGAGTATCTCAGCACCGCAGGAGATTTCATGGACAAATATGCAGAGCAAATATAATACATGGCTTATATATAATGACGCACATAAAAAGCCTACTAGTCTGAAGATAAAGGAGGCCTTGAATCATATCCTATTATGCTGCACCCTAGTTTAATCTGGTATTAAAAATACTGCTTAGGATATACAAATTACTTGAAAAAGTTATTAAAATGTTACAACAACAACAACAACAACAAAAGTAATAAGTGAATTCAAGTTTTATGCATGACCTCCAAGAAAGATTTTGTTTTTAGGAAGCTTCAGACAATGTTGAAACAGCGTGGTAACTTTCTAGCACTGTTAACAAGTGTCAGTAAATTTTAAGGCCATAATTTCATCATGCAATTAAATCCATTCATCTTGATTTCAGGGAAAAAAAAACAAACCCACCCCACTCCCCCTGCCCAAAAACAGGTGATGTGCTGAGGCAAAAAGTCACTACCACATCCAGAAGTAAGGTTAACTGAAGCCAGTGGTTTTTGCAGATGCCATCTGTATAGCTCCCACCCTATGCAGAGGGTGGCAAATTTGCACTGGCAAATTCTGGCAAACTCTGGCTCAACTCACTTAAAGACTCTTTTGAGACGAAAAGAAATAATGACACTCATTGAATCCAGACTAGATTGTTCAACACTTGTTCTGCACACAGAGAAGATGTTTGTTTTGGTCACTATCAGAAAAAAATCTATGATATCATCTCCATTAAAAAAAAAAATCTAATGCAAAGCGTAAACGTGTACAATTTTAGCAGCATTTTACAGTCCTTCATAAAGTAAAACCAGGAATGAATTAAAAGGAATGTTTTCATCAACCTCATTTAAAATATCAAAATATCATGGCCAGTAATTGCTGATGCATCACAGTTGTAATCAGTAAAATTTGGGGCCAGCAATTAACTCAACATGGGGAGCACGGCAGCAAATAGATCAGATTCAACATTTTCTAGCAAAGTAAATATTTACAACTCTTATGTACAGCTTCTGGACTTACAAAACAATGGAGAGCTAGAAAGTTTTCTAAAGTCAAGTTTGTAATTTAAAAAAAAAAAAAAAGAAAGCACTTGTCCTCCCAATTTGGAGATGCTTTGGCATGCCAAAAGAGGCCTTTTTTGTGTTCATTGCAACTGTTATAAAACCAGCAGATATAAAGCATCAGTGAGGCCAGATGTCCTCAGCAACATAGGCAAGGTCTCTCTTGTGTCTGTGATGTTAGCTATTTGGCGAGCCAATATCCACTGTGATCTTTGTATACAGAGGGTACTTGTCAGTTCTTAACACCTTGTAGGATAGTGTATTTAAGCCGTCAGAGCTCATTGTCTCCCTTGTGTGAGCAATTCGGTCAAACCTGCGGAAAGAGGGGGGGTGGGGAAACAACAAAGAAAGAAAAGGAAAAAAAAATGTTTAAACAACCCGAACTTGCACGACATTTTTATAGCCTCTCAGGTGCCATCTCCGGCGTTTTAAGAAAAACCTGAGTATCAGTACGGGTCCCATAAACTCCCAGATCTGGCCAGCCTGAGCAGTGGGCAAAGGCATCCCTATGGGGTCAAATTTTAGCCAGGAAAAAGCAGCCAAGCTTTTAAATCACACAGGCCCTTTTCCAGCTCTGCACTAGAGCACAGGTTTTATACGCCAAAGAAAGGCAAGCTGGAAACAATTGCTCAGAGCTTAATTTGCTGCGTTTAAGAAAAAGAAAGAAGAAAAAAAGGCAAGAGGCGTTTGTGCCATAGTGAAATCTTGGGGAAAAGGTCGGTAATAAGGTAATAAACTGGCAAGAGGCAAAAGAGAGGTGGGCAAGGGAGGAGAGGGCCGCAGGCTTTCCGCCATGGGGGTTTTTGCAGGGCGAAGGGAAATGCAAGCGGCCGGAGCAGCAGGGGCGGGAGGCACCCCTCGAACCCGCTGCGGGACGGGAGACGCACCCCTCGAACCCGCTGCGGGACGGGGGGCGGGGCGCCCC